GCTCACATCCATTAGCTCGTGTTCGTGTTCTTTGGCAACAACGATTGCCAATTTTGAGGCAATATGCTCGACCTCAGCGGGCTCGGCAGTATTTGTGTTGTTGTTAATTAAGTTATTTTCTTTGATTTTGTTGTCTTCAGTCTTTTGTTGCGTCTCAATAGCAGTCGCCGGGTTGACTAAGTTCGCCACGGCGTGGTTTGTTGTGTTGGTTTTTATGTTTACATTTTCGTTGGCATCACTGTTCGCATTTACTTCTTTGACATCTTTTGTGTTATTGTCAATGCTGCTACTTGTTGTCGTCTCGACCTCGTCAGCATTGTTGTTTAACAAGTTCTTTGTATTTAGCAATGAGACATTGTCCTGGTCGGCCGTGTTTGCTTCATTGCTGGCAATGAGATTCTCATCGGTGGACGGTTCTTTTGTCGCCTGCTTCTTCTCATTCTTGAGCACACCTTGCACGACTTCATTCACTGCCAATTCAATCTCTTCATCCTTTAGCACAGAAGAAGCTTCTTGCAATTCGTCGGCAACCAATTTACAGTGTTGTAGCGCCTCTTCGGAGCTTTGCAGCACTTGTGCCACATGCTCGGTATCGTCGGACGTGCCAGCTGCGATCTTTGCAGTGGCCAGCTCAATTTCTTCCAAATCCTCCGGCTTGAGGTTGAGGGCTTGTGACAATGCTTCTTGACCGCCAATAGGCGCCGGCGACTTGGCTGGTGTACTGCTGGTGCTTGCGGCCGTCGACGAGCATGAAGCACTACCGTTGCAGGTCACGGCAACCTCCGGGGACTCGACTATGCTGGTGACTATCACTTCCGATTTAATGTGTTCATTATATACATCGGATATATTGGATATTTTCGACTTTGCTGGATCTTCGGTTGCATTCGCCACAACAGACGCCTCCTTTACCACTTCTGTATCGGTTGCTTTCTCGTCTGGCGAGCAGCCGCAAGTCGTTGTTTCAATCGCGCCACTTGTAGGTGTCTCTTCCTGCGTTGTCGCCTCGATTTCGTCGACCTCGATTTCCTCCTCCACAGGAGGTACATCTTCGAGTGAACCCACCGACTCGGCGTCTTTTAAATGCGCGTCTTGTGCCGCAGGCGCTGGCAGTGCCGCCTGCTGATGATGCGCATGCGTATGCTCTAGCTGTTGTTGCGGTTGTTGATGGTGTTGATGATGTTGCTGCTGCTGCTGCTCCTCACGTTCCCAACCACTGATGGTGCTGATGGGACGCGCTTGTCGCAACGCCGGATCGGTAATATTGTCCGTACGTTGACGTTCGTAATGTTCGTACATTTGCGCGAATTGCAATTTGAACTCTTCGTAGGAGACTTTCGAGTGCACGATGGCTAGTGTGTCGACCCACACACGCCATCCACCGTACTCATGTTTGATGGCGTGATGCAAGAGCATACGGAAGAGTGAGTACACCATATCGGAGATTTTCTGCTCCTCTGTATTCTTCGGATGTATGTAAGCCATAGCTATAAGCCACTCTTGCCAAACGGACATCTGGAGTACAGTGCGCCGGTTCTCACGATTGCTATTGCAAAGCAACGTCATATCGGATAGGAAGAGCTTCTTTACTTCGATTAGCGATTCGGTTTGCTTGGATTGACGTATGAGCGTGGCGACGACTTTGAGGATCACTGCGAAATGAAAGAAGAGGAAGAGGAAAATCGTTATGAATGCGGCAAAGCAAAAAATGCGTAATTTAAAAAGGGTTGATTTTCAGGTTAAATATTTTTTTTGTTATTTAAAAAAAAAAAAACATATAAATCAAAGTTGCGAACTTTACATTTGAATCGGTTAATTACCAAAGGGAATAACACAGCATTTTTTCAATATGACAATTTTAATGCAGATCGGTTCGTTTAAAGGAGCTTTGTTGAACTGCATCAAACTTGCCACAAATATTAAGGACCAAATTCACAGTGTGTAGTTAACCACTGCCGAGAGTTTAACAGTCGATTTTGCTATTCACAACGTTCAGTTAACAAAAGTTTAAATCCGGATTGCCCCCATAGTTAAACTCTTGTGAGAACAAAATTCTTTTTTGAGTATTGATTTTTAGAATTTCTAGATTTTCAGGCGATATGAATTTCCATAGCTAACTGCTGTAAATTCAAAGTTAAACTCTTGTTTGTGGTTAAGTTAACAATGGTTTAACTAAGCACTGTGAATCTGGCCCTAAATGTATTCAAATTTCTTGCTATAGTAGTTTCTGTGTGCAAGGAGGGTATGGAAACTAAAAACGGGTCTCCTCACTTTTGTCAGTTTTACTAGACGAGCTATACGCACTATATATCCAAAATATTTATAATTGCTTTTGTACGCAGATAATGTTCTATTTTTTGCGATAAATAATTCCTCATTATTTCGCCTGAAGCAAGCGCAGCAAAATTTTTTCTCAATTTATTGCAGCTTAAGTGTAATAACATCACTTAAAATCTTCACATATTTATAAGTTTCGCCTTACATTGCATCATTTTCGTTGCCTCATTACTTCACATTCATTTTGCTAATCCCAAGTAGAGGATTTACAGCGCAGTTTTATGCTCAACCGAACATACATGCGCGTTGTAGGTTCTTTTATGCATAGCCCTGCAGGAAAAACGGAATTATTAAAAATCGTTCTAGTTAAAAATCAGGTATCTTAGTACAGCGCTAGGGGCGGTCAGTGTCTTTTCATAACAAAAATGAAAAAAGCAAAGTTATGTATAGACAAAGTAAATAAGCTTGCAATTAATAACTATGCCTCAGATGATAATAGCAGATGTCACATAGTAGATGGTTTTTATGAGAAGTTCTTTTTCTGACAGAAATACAAACGGTTTACCATCGTCATTGCACCTCTAACGATGGAGGCCCTGAACAATATCATCTATTTAGCATAACACTGCTGAACTGGTATGAGGCTGATATCATCGTTGACTAGTTCAACAACTGGTATTAGTCTGATGCATAAGTCATACATTGGTGCAACGCCAAATACAAAGTACTAGGGCTATTAAACGTCAGACATATCAGAATTTTCAAAGGGTATACCGATTTCCGTGAAACTTCGTGGAATCGTAATTCTATGTGAGAAAATTTTTTCCCTTCAAATTATTTTGAAAAAAAAAGTTCAAAATTTTAGAAGGTACACTATTTTCAATTTTAACATTCATTAATTTCATAAAATTTGTGATAATTTTGGACTGATATTCGTTGACATTATGAAACTTATGCTGGATTTCTACTGGGCATTAAGTGACAAAAATGACAAATGACAAGGTCGGGAATTATAAAATAATCGTGTCATTACTTTAAAAAAATATTCATTAAGTTCCATTCTACATGGCACTTTTTTAAATAGCATAAATTTTTTGTAATTTCTATGCCTAGTGAAAATTCGGCATTACAAAAAAAAAGTTAAATGTAAAACATGATTTTTTATTAAAAAAAAAACAATATTTAGTTAAATAAAATTTTTTTAATTTATTTATCTTGACATACATTTCTGAAATATATTATTTTTTTTTATTAAAACAAGCAAAGAAGTATAAGTTCGGGCGAAACCGAACATTATATACCCGGCGCATATATGTAACGGGTGATTTTTTTGAGGTTAGGATTTTCATGCATTAGTATTTGACAGATCACGTGGGATTTCAGACATGGTGTCAAAGAGAAAGATGCTCAGTATGCTTTGACATTTCATCATGAATAGACTTACTAACGAGCAACGCTTGCAAATCATTGAATTTTATTACCAAAATCAGTGTTCGGTTCGAAATGTGTTTCGCGCTTTACGTCCGATTTATGGTCTACATAATCGACCAAGTGAGCAAACAATTAATGCGATTGTGACCAAGTTTCGCACTCAGTTTACTTTATTGGACATTAAACCAACCACACGAATGCGTACAGTGCGTACAGAAGAGAATATTTCAACAACAAGATGGCGCTACATGCCACACAGCTCGCGATTCTATGGCCATTTTGAGGGAAAACTTCGGAGAACAATTCATCTCAAGAAATGGACCGGTAAGTTGGCCACCAAGATCATGCGATTTGACGCCTTTAGACTATTTTTTGTGGGGCTACGTCAAGTCTAAAGTCTACAGAAATAAGCCAGCAACTATTCCAGCTTTGGAAGACAACATTTCCGAAGAAATTCGGGCTATTCCGGCCGAAATGCTCGAAAAAGTTGCCCAAAATTGGACTTTCCGAATGGACCACCTAAGACGCAGCCGCGGTCAACATTTAAATGAAATTATCTTCAAAAAGTAAATGTCATGGACCAATCTAACGTTTCAAATAAAGAACCGATGAGATTTTGCAAATTTTATGCGTTTTTTTTTAAAAAAAAAGTTATCAAGCTCTTAAAAAATCACCCGTTATATATCAAATATCGTCCCTCTAATTTTCTCTTAACTACCCTGCAAAAAATTGTGCGATTAATCTCTAAAGAGAGCATTCTGAGATTACTCTCAATCGGATACAATTGGGCATTAATTAGTCGCAACTAGTCTCATACGGGTACTAATGGGGATCAGTTAGTCTCGACTGATCCGTTACGAGATTTAATGATATGGACGCTATTAGTCAATGAAATTCCAAGTGCGGCGTGGGCACATAGAGAGAGTATTCGTTTAACAAATCTGAGCACCCTGGTTCGAATCGCGGCTGGCGCAAATTTTAATTTTAATTTTTTTTAAGTAACAAGCGCTTTTTGTATCCGTTCGGGTATAAAGTGGACCAATTAGTGCCTTCATAGTACATGCTCGAACAGAAGCGAACAGTTCATTCCATATAAAGAGATCAAAGGTATTATTCTTTGCGATTGCTCCCGGAGTCATCTCGGATTAGTCGCATTTTTTGCAAGGTACCTTTGCATGATAAGTAGGTAGAGTATTTCTCCCGATTTCGAACTCTTTCGATAATATGCTGAGTTAGACTTAATGAAATAGTTGTACCAAGTTTCGTAGAAATCGATAAAAAGGTTACCGAGATACACCTTGTAGTCATAAACTACTAAAAGTCTATAGAAGTCTAATTTATTGTTAAGAGATTATTGTAACCGTAACTTGGAGTAAATTAGCGTCCTCAGTTATTGAAATATCAGAGTTTTCGTACGTCTGAAATTTACCATTATACGGGAAGCAGAAGTAATTTTTGACCGATTTGAACAATTTTCATCGAGTTACTTTTCTGTACCAGGGTTATTATGTGCACCGAGATTCGTAGAAGTTGATAAATTGGTTACCGAGATATACGCTTGG